GTGGGGGGGAGAGAGAGAGAGAGAGATTGAGAGATGAGAGATGTGCTGGGGAGGCAGAGGGAAAGATGGCGGCCAGAGAAGAGAGACCACACACAGACGGTGGTGGTGAGCCCAGGTCCCTGCCCAGCCCTAGCGCCGCGTCTCACCAGCCGTCCACTGGCGCCTTGAGCAGTTCCGAGACGCCAAAGGACATGGCACCCATGAAGTCATTGCGGGAAGTCCGGTCCCAGTCCCACACCTCCACGCTGAGCCGGCGCTCCACGTCCCCTGGCTTCAGGTTGCTGCGGGAAGGTGGGGCGCCTGGAGTGAGGGGCTGAGCTCATGGCGCCCCTCCCTTTCCCACCCTTGAGTTGAGGGTGGGCTAGGGTCTCTTTCCTGCTGTGTCTGTTTCCTACCTCTAACCCTCCTGAAGGTTGTCCCCCCCCCCCATCGTGGCTTTGGGCCTTGGAGACACCTAGACAGTTCTTTCTAGCCTCGTCCCATTCTCCTACACCCTTGGCCCCTTCCCATGCCTGTCGCCTGGCCTTTCTCTCCAGATCTCTCTCTCACTCTGAGTCTTCTTTGCCCCTCTCCCTCTCCTCTCTCTGCATCTCTGTCTCCATCTTTCTGTCAACGGGTGTGTCTTTCTCTGACTTCTCCCTTCACTTTTGTTCTGTGTCTCTCTTTGGGTTTGTGCCTCTTCTGAGACCCCTTGCTCTCTCTCTCTCTCTCTCTCTCTCTCTCTCTCTCTCTCTCTCTCTCTCTCTCTCTCCCCTCTGCCTCACTCTAAAATGGGGGACTTCGATGGAGACTAATGCACAGAGACCTGTGTCTCTCAGCTTTTCTCCATCCTTCTTCCTCAACCACTTGATTCCTTCCTCCCATCATCTTCTTCTATCCTTTTCTGGGTTCCCTCTTTGCTCACACCTCCTATCGACTGCTCTCTGGGGTCTCAGATAATTCTCTGCAACTTATCATAGCCTCCCTTGCACCCCAGGCTCACAACACAAAGGTCTCGTTCCACACAGGGTTTAGCGTGGCTTTCACCGTCCGGGTCTTCTGTTTTGTCAGGTTCCGAGGGTCCGGGATGAGCTTCAGTTTCACATAGGGATCAGACAGACCATTGGGGTCCATTGGAATGAGGTTACGGGCCTCTCCAACTGAAGGGGGAGGGGAGGGAAGGTGTCCTGTGTTAGAGACCCAGGAGGGGGCTCCCAGCCTTCCTTAGCACTCAAGAATTCCAAATCCTCGGTCTCCTTACTCATGACCTCCTACCGCCCCCCACGTACCCCCAGGTACTCAGAAGGCGGGGCATACAGCCCTTTCCCCACCCAGTGACCCAGAAACCCGATCCAGAGCCCTGTCCTCTGTTAGGACCCAGAGTTTGGACCCTGGCCATACCACCACTAGTAAACCACAACCTCCCTCAGAACCAGATCCTCCCGGAAAGGCCTTAAGAGGCGCTGAAAGTTGCAAGCGGCAAGGCTGGGGGCGGGGCTTCGAGTCAGAAAAGGGGCGTGTGCCGGGGCGGTGCTCCGCCTTTGGAGGCGGGGTCAGGAGTGAGAGCGTCGCCTCTGAGAGGGGCGTGGCCCAGTCCAGGGACGGGGCCAACAGCCGTGAATTCGGGGAGAGTAGGGGCGGGGCCAGTCGAAAGGGGCGGGGCCTCACCGGTAATGTGGATCTCATCCGCGGTCGGAGCCCGGATTTCCAGTTGCAGGCGCCCGCGGCGCTCCGTGTGGTCCACGCCGCACAGAGAGGGCACGCTGCGCACACAGCGCCGGTGAACGTTCATCTCGCAGCCTGGGGGCACACAGCGGGGGAGG